TTGTCATGATTTTTTCCAAATTTGTGGGTTGCCTTTTCACTTTGTTGGTAATTTCTTTTGATGTGAAAAAACTTCTCAGTAAGAGCAGGTCCCAGTTGTTAATTCTTTCAACTGCTTCCCGTGCAATTTGATTTCTGTTCATGAAGTCTTTGCCTACCCCTATGTCTTCAAGAGTTTGTCCTACTTTCTCTTCCAGGAGATTTAGTCTCTGCTTTAATGTTTAGATCTTTAATCCATTTTGACTTTAGTTTAGTGCATGCTGATAGACCTGGGTCAAGTTTGAGTTTTTGGCATGTAGAGAGCCAGTTTTTCCAGCACCATTTGTTAAACAGGCTTTCTTTCTTCCAGTGAGTATGTTTGGCCTCTTTGTCAAAGATAAGGTGGCTGAGTGTGTTCATAGGGGCTTCAGCGTCTTCTAATCTATTCCATTGATCCTCACGTCTATTTTGTTACCAGTGCAATGCTGATTTTATCACAGTAGCCTTGTAGTATAATTTAAAGTCAGGAATTGTAATGCCTCTTGCCTTGTCTTTATTGCCCAGAATTGCCTTTGCTATTCTAGGTCTTTTGTGGTTCCAGATAAATTTAGGGGCTTTGATCTTACCTGAGTTTTGTTTTCAGCAGCTGTAATCACCTTCTGGAAGTAACTTTTTTGGTGTATGGGGAGAGTGAGATCAGAAGGTAGCCTGTCAGGTTATCTCATCCAGAGATAAGGAAGGTGAAGGCTGTACAGTTAGCTACATTTTTGAAACAGGTCATAATGAACAGGGTAAAGCCGTAAATGACCCATTGTTTGTTCCGCTTTTGTTCAGCTCTATTATTTATATGTTTTCTACTTAAAACATTTAACTTTTTTTTTTCATTTATACCACTGGTTTCTTTTAGTCCGTTAAAAAAAAAAGTTTTGTGCTAATATCTGTTCTTTGTAAGAAAATCATTTTTGTCAATGTACTTTGACTACTTTGAAGATAATGATATACAGCATGTTGTTATTCTATTTCATGAAACATGTAATCTGATCAAGCATTTACTTAGGTATACTTACTATAATATATATACCTGGGGCCAGGGAGATGTCTCAGTGGAATAAGCGCTTGCCTGGCAGGCACAAGGCCTGAGTTCAATCCCCAGTTCCACCCCCCCAAAATAAATAAATAAAATAAATAAATAAATAAAGTGTCTTTAAAAAAAGTAAGTATACCTAATTTTTTTTTTAGTATACCTAATTTTTGCACCTAATTGTATGAGATGCTTGGAAGATAAGGAAGCCATAGTCCCTACTGTCGAAAAAGTTATCAGTTATAGAGCTGTTGAATAAGTAAATATTTATATAATAGTCCACTAGCTATTGTGAAAAATTAAAAAAAGGAAAATGACTTCACTTAGAGAGCAAATTAAGGAAAACTATGAAAAATAAATGACATTTAAATTGAGTGTTGGCGTACTATTTAGTGGGTCTAATAAATTGTTGATTTAAAAACAATTTGTTTAAAAACTAACATGAAATGTTCATGTTATAAATGTATGTTTTATATGAGAAATAGTAAATTAGCTTGGAAATACTGAACAACAAACATCCTAAATTTAAGGAATCATTTAAGAAGCACTACATTATTAAATGCCAAGTATAGTGTGGAATTGCTTTCCATATGTTATCATTTCATCTTCACAATGACTCATTGAGATAGATTATTAATGTTTCATTTATAGACGAGGAAAACAAATCTTGCAGAAATGATGTAAGTAATGTCAGGGGATTTAAACTCAGTTCAGTCTGGTTTCTAATCAGTTTTCAGTCAGTATATTAAAAATAATCATAGCTATTAGATTTTGCTTTTCCTATCTCTTTATTTTCCTGTATTTAATTCATTGGAGAGAATTTATTTTTTATTTAAAGAGATACAAAGGACTTTTAGAAGCTCTTTTTCCCTTCCCAAAGTTTTTTAAAAAACAGGTCATATAATTTGCTACTTTTAGGATGGTTGAAGTGCAAGTAACTTAGTTTTTACTATCCTTGATTTTTTATTTGTATTTTTGTGTGTCTTGGCATCTTCTCAGAACTCATTCTTTGTGTTTTACCAAGAAGAATTTTAAAGACTTTAGTTTGAGACACATTGGCTTGTTTAAAATTGGACTCAAAAGCTACGATATCTTTCCTATAAATGAGCTATTTTAATTAATTTAATAAAAATTGCCCATTTAATATATTCATAGTGGGGCCATAATTTGTATATCTTGCTGCTGAGCAGTGTGAACCACTGGTGGTACATACACAGCTGTCCCATTAGATAGTTCTATATTAATTTTATTAGTAAAAATATCAGTAAAAGTGATTAGTTCTGTTTGTATCCTCAGTGGTACAAGCTGCCCAATGGCATAGTCATGCTTGTATGTGGTTGGGTCTGGCAGGAACATGTTAAAAAGTGGAAGGAAGCACTGCAGAAATAGGTATTGTGACAGTTTTGTTTGCTTTGTTGCTATGAATAAGAAGAAAATAATCTGCTGACGAAGGGGAGATTAAGGTGAAAATTGTGATATAGGCTGGTAGAGTGGGAATAAGGTTCTAAAGGATAAACTAAGCATGCTGATGTTGTATACCTGATATTATGTACTGCCCATCAATTTAATGAACTATAGTCTGTTATATATTGGTGACCATCAAGTAGTTTCCCAGACTTTTATTTCTCTTCAGTAGTTTATATTTTCTTTTAGGTAGACAATTGAAAAGCTTAGAATGTATGAAAATATTAAGATATTTTCATGGACTTTATTTTGACTCAAAACAATTTATTTTTGTAGAATGATTACTAATTTGTAATTCTAAGACACTACAAAATTGTATATCTTGAACACTAAGTCCCTCTACTTTTCCTTTTAGAGAGTATGTGCTGTTAATGAAGTTTCTGGGTCTGCTTTGTGAACGTATCCTAACAGCAACAGGATTTTCCTTCTGGCTGCCTGAATTAGGAAGGTTAAATAGGAAAAAGTTGGTTTGGATGATCATTTTGCTGGAAGTTTGCAGGGAGAGCTTTACCTCAATGCCTTTTTAGTCCATCTGTATATTTTCACTCATAAATTAAAACCCTAAGAAATGATTGAAGAAACAGGTTTAGGTTCTTTGTTCTTCCACATCAAGAAAGAGTAAACCTATTACTGATGTAAATCTGCTACCAGTACCAAGTGTAACCCTTGAAATTTTTCTTCCTGCTCACCTTTCTTCTGGGGAAAATATGTATTATGTGAAAGGGTGGAAGATGCAAGTTCAGAAGTGATAACAAAGGAGTAGGAATTGACAGCAGTGGTAACAGTTGGGCTTTTTCTCTCCGGTGGTTTGCAGTGGACTTGGAGCCTGCTTCCATGTGAGGGACCATTCTGACGGTCTTTTTTTTTTTTTAATTTTTTATGTTTTTGACATCTTGAAAACATAATCGAATTTATCATGTGAATTATTTTTCATAGATACTGACCCAAAGATAGGTGTTCTATAGAATTTGTATGTGTTAATGTGAATAAAGATTATTTTAATGGGAGCAATGGTATTACGATAATAGAAAAAAATTAAAAATAAAATTTTCTCTTTGTGTTAATAGGCAGGCAGTGGTTAAAGGTTCCCTTCCACATCCTTTTGCCTTGACGTTGTTTGAGGACACATTGTACTGGACTGACTGGAACACACACTCCATTTTGGCTTGCAGCAAGTATACTGGCGAAGGTCTGCGTGAAATCCATTCTAATATTTTCTCTCCCATGGATATACATGCCTTCAGCCAGCAGAGGCAGCCAAATGGTAAGTGATCTTGATTTTTAAATTGCAAGTTGGAACAGCTTTGCATCAGTCTGATATCTGGCTTTAGTGAGGGTCAGGAGGGGGAAGAACATATTCAAAAGTAGTAGAAGGGAATAAAAAAGAGAAAACGTGGAAATATAATTCAGCTTAAGCAATAGCCTAAAATAAACCATTTGTATGTAGCCTTACATTTTTTACTATCCATTACTTTTCCTGTTGTTTGGCAATAAAGAGGGTAATGGAGGTAGAAAAAGGAGAACAAGAGAAATAATTTAACAAGAGAAAATAAATTTAAAAATTTGAGACAACTCATTTGATAAGCTTACACACAAATGCATCTGTGTGTTTTGAAGTTTGTGTCTTTAGGAAATTATTTTCCTAAATGGAAATTACTCTGGACAATGAGTTTAAGAAACTCAGCTTGCTGAGTAAAGTGCATACTTAAACATTTCCTTGCATGCTTTCCTCTTTTCTCTTTAAGTTTTGCTTCTATTTTACTCAAAACCTTTTACAATGACTTGGGCTGTGTCAGCTCACAATGACCTCTTGGAATGGAATTAGGAATGGAATTAGGTTTAGAAGGAATATGAGAATGTTAAGTATTTGGCAGTTGGGTGTAAATAAATAAGTATCTGGCGTGTGTTTGAGTATATTTCAGATTGTGATCTGTAGCCAAAACTTTTTTTGGGTCATGTGTTGTTTTGTATTAGCTTTTTTTCCATTTAGGAGATAATCAAATACTGAATGCGTTATATTGACTGTGATGATCATGAGCTCATAAAAATAATTTAAAATGTGTTATTCTTTTGTAACAAAGAAAATGTGTAATCATGCATGAATTTTTTTGTTCTTATAGCCCACAGGAGAAAAGTTTCTTGGTGTGTTCTAATGGCATTATTGATCCTTTTCTTATAACTGAGAATTTGAAGTTATCTTTGATGTTGCTGTCTTTTATATCATCTGTTGGTCTCCATCTTCTGTTGGTTCTTTCTATGAGTAGTATTTGAATTCATCCATCCTACAGTTTCTATACATCTGGTAATTAGTTTTCTCTACTTTTCAGTTTTTCCTTATTTCATTCTGCTTATCTCCTTCAAATTGATTGTTCCAAGGCACAACTTTTCAACATTCTAATTACTTTTCTTGGCTTTCAGTACTGTCCCTTATAGTGTTCCCATTTGTGCTCATTCAGTTCAGTTCCTGTTAGACAAACCTTGATCCCACATCTTTGCCATTCATTTTATCTTACTCAGGTGTATGGCCTCCAAGCTTTTCTTCATATGGCTTTAATACATATGAAGTGTTTATTTCCCTGTCCTTCAAGTCACGTTCTACAGAAGTCTTTCTTCAATTCTTTAAAAGTATGATTTCTGTCTGACTATACTTAAGAGTCTTAAGTATAATGTGCAAGATACTATTTAAGTTTTGTTGTTTTGTTTCTTAGTTTTATTGTTTGCTAACTTTGGCTTGCTGACTAGATTATAAGCTCTTTTAGGGCAAGGATTTTCTCCTTTGCTTTTTATTTGTTCCTCTTTGGATACAAAATGCCAAGTTGATTCTTGCTAATTATTAATTTCCTTACAGACAGTTTGGTAGTCAAGTACCTACCTGAATAACATTTGGTAATAATTTTGGTTTATCACAGTTACTCATGTTATGGTTGTTAACCTTTGTATACCTATAATGAGGGAGGTCATCCATAATCATTGGTATTAATCACTGTGATTTATATTTGACAGCTACAAATCCATGTGGACTTGATAATGGTGGTTGTTCTCATTTGTGTTTGATGTCTCCAGTCAAGCCATTTTATCAGTGTGCTTGCCCAACTGGGGTTAAACTTCTGGAGAATGGAAAAACCTGCAAAAATGGTAAGATGATGTTATCCAAGAAGAAGAAAATTTATGAGAGCATTTGAGATTTTCTGACTTATTTTAAAAAGCTTTGTAGGTTACAGTGCTTTGGGAAACGAGTCACTCAGATGGTTATGTAGGAGTAATGTTCTGTGTTTTATGACATCTTTTGAATGTTATTTTAAGTCTTGTGCTGTTTTTGAAAAAAAATACTATTTTTATTCTCTATCAAGTTTTTCATAATCATTGATACCAGAATTGATTGATAATAAGTATCTCATAAAAATATTTTTATTAGAAGGTAGTTCTTTTAAATAAAAGATCTCTCTGGAGGTAAAAGTGTTCATTAAATTTTCACCTACAAAGTTTATAATGGGATAGATACATATATATTTTCTAGCAAGTGACTAAATGCTATTTTTAATTGCTTTTTAATAATACTTTTAATTGCTTTAAGTGCTGTCATAAGAAAGAAAAGCTATACCATACTGCTAAAAGCAACTTCTTTTTATATTTGACCACCACATTTTGCAGAGGGCATGTTGAAGAAATATACTAATTTAATACATGTCAAGGGACTTATGGTTTAGAAAAACACCAGTTCTTTTCTTTTTCTTCTTAATGGGAATGTTACTCTTCATTCTTGCCCCTGTTGATTACCATCTGGTTCTCTAGCAACCAGCAAGACCTAGTAGGAAAATGGTTATGTTTAGCAGTGGTTTCTTTATCTAACTCTGAAAAGCAGAAGCTTTCATTTCAGAATATGTTAAGAGTGTTCCTGGCAAGGAGGTCAGGGAGTCAGAGAGATGGAATTGAGTCCGGGTCCTGGATATTTGTTATGAGTTAGCATTGATAAATTATCCTTATAGTCAAAGGTGAAGTTGTCTGGCTCTTGTCATATGGTTTCTATGGCAACAATAATTTGGTTTGAATTTAAAACAAAAGGTTTTTTTGGTCTGGGGAGATAGCTCAGCAGCTTAAGTGCCTCCCTGGCAAGCACAAGGTCCTGAGTTTGATCCCTGGTACTGGGGGAAAAATTTGTATTTCAATAAAACAAAAGGTTTTTGTTATAGTTTTTTATTTGTTTAAAAATATAGCCTGATTTTAAAACTAAGGCTTTGTTTTAGCAGTAGTGGCCTGTTTCTCATAATGGTACAAATGTACATGTTTAAGTAGTTTTGAGTTTCAAGTATACATAAGCCTTAACTGTTTTGGTCATTACTCAAAATAACAGCTCCATGACATTTTTTTGCAGTTTCTACTGGTTCCTTTTAGTAGAGAAAGCAAATCATATACCTCTACATGCTGCCTCTTCTGGCAGTTTGGGCTGCATTTTATTCAGGTTAGAATAAAATCTGTAATTAGCCCTGTAATCAATAGCAGAGGTTGAGAGGTGTCATTACTTTTCTTAATTTTTTCTTCTGTAACTCCAGCTTGATGCTTAAAGTTTATATCCTAAAAGAAAAAAACTTGTTTTGAATGGTCCTTTTTTTCTTCCTCTTTCAGTTGTGAGGTTGCTTACCAGTTTTATTAGGGGCTTAGGTGATTTCTGTGGTGGTGATATATTTGTGCATTAAAAATGAAAAGAAAGATTGAGCTTAAAACTCCAATGCTCAATTTTGTCTTCACTGAATCTTTTATTTTTTGGCGGAACTGGCGATTGAACTCAGGCCCTTGCGCTTGCCAGGGGAGCGCTTATTCCACTGAGTCATCTCCCCAGCCTCTTCACTGAATCTTGATATATTTATCTCTTAATTCTCACAGTAACGTTAGAGCAGACATTAAGGTGAAGAAATTAGGCTTAGAAAGATTTGATATTTTGCCTAAATTTGTATAGATGCTTGAATCAAGTTCTGTTGGGTCTACAACTCTTACTCATGTCTTTCTTTTTCTCTCTCCACTGCTGCTATGAGTATTTTCTTCTTTCTAGCTTCCTTTGTCCTCAGTTGTGTCAGATATTGCCCTGTAATTTTTGATGAGATAACTTTACCAAGAATTTATGTAGCATAAAATTCTGGTATTTAAGAACTGTATTAAGTACTGTGTATTGATTTTAACAGAGTTGTGCAGTCATTACCTTAATCTAGTTTTATTTTTCCATCAGCCACAAAGATTCTGATAAAAGAAGTCACAGAGTTTAGTCATCATAGAGTTTGACTTCGTAGTGGACCTTTCCAATTTCACTGCATTACTTTGCACATCTACTCTATAAGAGTTGGGCTTGTGTGTGTATTCCTGAAGAAGTTCTGTATTTATTTTGTCTGTGGCTTTCAGTTGATTTCTTTTTTACATAATTTGTTCTAGGTGCAACTGAATTACTGCTTTTAGCCCGCAGGACAGACTTGAGGCGCATTTCTTTGGATACACCAGATTTTACAGACATAGTTCTGCAGTTAGAAGACATTCGTCATGCTATCGCCATAGATTACGATCCTGTGGAAGGCTATATTTACTGGACTGATGATGAAGTGAGGGCTATACGCCGCTCCTTCATAGATGGATCGGGCAGTCAGTTTGTGGTCACTGCTCAAATTGCCCATCCTGATGGTATAGCTGTTGACTGGGTTGCACGGAATCTTTATTGGACAGACACTGGCACTGATCGGATAGAAGTGACAAGGCTCAATGGGACCATGAGAAAGATCTTGATTTCAGAAGACTTAGAGGAACCCCGGGCTATTGTGTTAGATCCCATGGTTGGGTAAGAAGCTCTGCTAGTAGTAAATTTGTCTGGTGTTTCTTTAATAAGTATCTGAAAACATTAACTCCACATGAAGTACATGCAATTTATATTGGCTTTTAATAAACCAATGTTTTTAGAAAGTAGTAATTAGAATAAAATATTTTTTTAAAAAATATTTTCTCTCTTAATGAACTTAATACATGCTGACTTTGGAAATTTCCTGCAGATTTTGCTTAGATTACATAATGACCATGAAAAACATGGAAAGCAATTTTTAGCACCTTTCTTCCCAACAAGATTTTATTTCATCCTGCTTCAGTACTTTCTATATAACTATATCTTCCTTCATATTTCCCAAAATATGTGAATAACTTGTCCTCCAAAACCTTGTCATGTCCTGTACCTTTACTTTGTATCTTTATTATTTGACTACAGGACCTTGGCTATAAGCATAAGATTCTAAATATGTCTTAAAGTTATTGTTATTGTAAGATTCATTCTGATGACAAACATAGTGACACGAATTCTTTTAACTCAGTGTGGTGTACCTCAGACCCACTTAACCAATCAAAAGCTACAGGAATCACTATTGGAAAAATTATTTGGAGAATTCAGTTTGTCATATGAATATTCCTATCAAATTAATTTTTTCTTTCAGAGATTAAGATCCATCAAGAAAAAGAGCAAAAGTTCATGGGAAAAGCACAAAATATATTTTTAAAAATATTATTAAACTGGGCTGAGTGTGGTAGCATACACCTGTAATCCCAGTACTCAGGAGACTGAGCCAGGAGATCGCTGGGAGTTTGAGCTACAAAGTGAGTTCAGGCCCGGCCTGAATTGCATAGTGAGACCCTGTCTCAAAAAGACCCGTACTCCCATAAAAAATTTGAACTGAAATGTCATTATTGGGAGACATATTCAGGACCAATTCTAGAAAACGCTGATATAAAAATTTATGTCTCGTTATGATAAATGATTTAAAGATACTCGAGATATTTAAGTTCTGTCTTCTCCCTTCTGTGGTATTGACTGTTTATAGCAATGTAATATGTGGGGTGGATCTCACTTCTATTATTTATTTCTAGCCCATTTTCTGTCTTCTTTTGTAGGTACATGTATTGGACTGACTGGGGAGAAATCCCAAAAATTGAGCGAGCAGCTCTAGATGGCTCTGACCGAGTAGTATTGGTTAATACTTCTCTTGGTTGGCCAAATGGTTTAGCCTTGGATTATGATGAAGGCAAAATATACTGGGGTGATGCCAAAACAGACAAAATTGAGGTTTGTGTCTTGCCTTTTCACTTAATTGAAGACCAGTTCTATGTATTTTTAAGTTGCTAATAACTTGGTACAGATATTCTTGCAATACCTGGGGTTCCAGAGATGTCTTTCCTAGGAATTTTACTCATACTTTTCAGTTCTAGGGATCATACATTCTCTTCCACCTAATTTCAGGATTTTGAGTGATGTTAATATGAAAAATAACTATTTCTAACCTTGAAAGCTTATTTAAGTAATTTTACTCATTATTCTGCCTGACTTTTCCTAGAAACAGTTTTTGCAAACCAGAATTAGGTAAGAGTTATACTGGAAGAGCTAGCAATCCTAAGTTAGGAAAACAAATCCTATGTGTATATGACTTTTGTTGCTGTTGGTGTTGGAGTAGGTGCAGGAGTATATTAAATATTAAGACGGTTACATGTGCACAACTCTTAAACTGATTTATGAACTCTGTAGGTGAAAACTTGGGAAAATATTTACCATGTGGTAGAATTAAGTTTCTGGCATTCAAATAGAATTGTGGTGAAAAATGTCAGTATTTTATCACATTGTTTTTGTAAATGGCATGTATTAAGTGTGAAGCTTAAAATGCACAACTTTGAGTTAAAGCTGTGCCAGTTTTATAGGTCACAGGCTTAAGAGAGAGTTAGGGTCTTTTTCTTTGGGGAAGGGATGCTTGGCTTCTCATGTAAGGACTAACTTAGGAACATTCTTCAAAGAGCCACTGCACACAACTAATGGATAGAAAATTTGAACTGTAGAGTAGTTATTTTAGAAAGGTAATTCTGAGAAGTGCCAGGAACTCTGAGGGAATAATGAATTAACGGGGCTTCCTTCCAGAGTGGAAACTTGGAATAGGAGAAACCCATTAGTAGTTTACCAGGCCCAGACATTGAAAATGGCATCTCTTATTCTTACAGCTGGTTTTCATTAACAGAAAATTTTGTATAAACTGACTATATAAAGTTTCTCCCTGTTGTTAGTGTTTTCACTCTCCCCTTTCCCCCTTTTAAAATCCAAGTAAGTTAATGTTTAAATCTTTAACAGCTGGAGAAGTGTGCTAATGAAACAGAGGTGATGGATTGCTTTTCAGACAGACTGATGGTTTCTTTTGGGTACAAATTGCCTGCCTAATCCTAGCCAGTTCACAGTTGTGTATTGATCAGCTGTAGATCATATATCATTGTGTGCGTTTTGCTTTCTCTTGAACAGTTTAAAGCCAGTGTGCCCTAGAAGAGTATCTGTAGCAGTGAAATCTATATAATGAAAGAACGTCTGATTTATTATCACATAGTCTTTTTTTTTAAAGACATCTTAAAGTTTCCATATTTGATCTTGTCTTTACTATGAGATGAGTGAGTGATTGTTGATTTTTTTCGACATTCAATATGTTGAAAATAAAATTATTGTTCCTTACTAGCAATGAAGTAAGTCTTACTTTCTTCACTTAAGATATATTTACTACTTTGGATACAAAAGTTTATTCAGAATCACCAATGATTGAAGAAGGGTTTCAGATAAAGAAATGAAAATTCATGAGGTTGTGGATGAAGTATTTGGGAATAAAAAATATATGATATAGATTAAACATAATTTATTTGTATTGAGTGCAGATCTTAAAATTAGTATTCCTTTGGTCTCTTTGTGTTGTCGTGTTGAGCTGCACAAATGTATATACAGTGGAGAATTTTTTTTTTTCTTGGTCTCATTCCTGTTTGGCTGAGTAGTACTAGCCCTTTAGATTCATCTTTTTTTAAGGTTTCTGACATGTGACTACCATTTCTTCTTTGTCCTTGCATTGATAGATTGTTTGGTGTTAGTAAATTTACTTGGAAACTGTATGTTGAAAGACCTACCTTACAGTGTTTGCACTGGAAATGCTGATGAGCTTTCACTGTTTGACTATCAGTCATTTTCTTTTCACAGACATCTTGACAGAGAGAGCAGGCATTGTTACTTATTCCATTATGATAGTGTGTTAAATAGCTGATACATCACAAACTAAGGAAAGAGCACAGCTGTTCACCCAAGTTAATCTTTCATAATTTGAGGAGAAAAATTTAGTTTTTCATTTTGACACTAGTAATGAATGTGGGAGCAAATGCCATTGGTCACATGTAATCTTTTTTATTTGCTGGTAGTTGAGTAATACTGAACTTGAAGGCTTGGAAAGATACATACTTTTTAAAATGCTTCCTTTTCCAAGAAGTTTAATTAGTAGTTTCTTGTTATGTGTGGAGGATTCCTGGTACTGATCTGACTCTAGTCTGGGTGACATTCTTTTCTATTCCTGTGTTCCTAAGAAAGCTTTGTCATATCTAAAATGGAAGATACTTTTTCCTGGGAGTGTGGCGAATATTCACCCATTCATGCCTAAGATTGCAATTTCTAATTTTTGCATGAAATTCACAAATTTTGGTTTTGGAGAAAGTGGGGTTTTTTTGGTACCAGAAGTTGAAATCAGGACCTTCACTTAGCAGGTAGGTGCTGTGCCACCTACCTTGGTCCTGTTTTTTTAATTTTAATTTATTTATTTTATTTATTTATTTTTTGGCGCAACCGGGGATTGAACTTAAAATTTTTATCTTTTAAAAGAGAATAAAAAGTAAAAAAAAAGAAAAATATTAGAAAAATACAGAATTTCACTAAAAACTTAATAGGAACTTAACAATGGTTGATGTGTTGCATAAAGTTTTCAACTTAGTTATTTAGATTATCAGATACAAGCATGCAAAATTGGTTTAAAATTATAAGAAATTAAAAAGAAAAAAATTAAACATTAACTGCTCCTTTCAGTAGACCAGCAAAAACTGGCAGTACAGTTATACATGCTATCCTGTATGTATACATACATAGTTTTTTTCTTTTCTCTCTCTCTCTCTCTCTCTCTCTCTCTCTCTCTCTGTCTCTGTCTCTGTCTCTGTCTCTGTCTCTGTGTCTCTCTCTCTTCTCCTTTTCCTTATCCCAGTTGTTTCTTCCCTTTGAACAGATTGTACCTTTCAGATTTCATTTACTTTTTCAGGTTCTTAAACTAGAGAGACCATATGATGTTTACACATATGGGTCTGATTTATCTCCCTTACGAGTGTGGTCTCAAGTTGTATCCATTTACCTGTAAAAGCTTTAAGTTTATTTTTTTTTAATAGCTGAATAGTACTCCATTGTGTAAAAATATCACCTCTTTTTTAGGCCATTCCTCAGTTCATGGGCATAACCATGACAAATTGTAGTGCTATAATATGGGTGCACATATATGATGATGTTTTCAGTTCTTTTGGAGAAATAACCAAGAGGAGAACAGCTGGGTTGAATGAGACCTCCAATCCTAGCTTTTTGAGGAATTTCCACACTAATTTCCATAGTGGTTGCACCATTCTGCACTCCCACCAGAGGTGGAGAATGCTTCCCTTTTCCCCACAGCCCCCCCAGCATTTGTTATTATCTGACTTCTTGATGATAGCCATCCTTCTGGGCTGAGATGGAATCTCAGTGTTGTTTTAATTTGTATTTCTCGAATGACCAATGATATAGAACATTTTTTCATATATTTATTTGCTATTTGTATTTCTTCATCTGAGAAGTGTGTATTCATCTCAGATGCTCATTTTTGGATTGGATCTTTGAATTTAGGGGCCTGATTTTTAAAAATTCTTCATGTGTTCTAGATAGAAGGCCACTGTCTGAGGGATAGTTGGCTAATGTTTTCCCGATTTGTGTATTTTCTTTTTACTCTGTTGGTGATTCCTTTTGACATGTAGAAACTTTTCAAAAAGATGAGACCCCAGTTGTTGATTCTTGAAATATATTCTGTGCAGTTTGGTTTTTGTTCATAAATGCTCTACTAACCCCTCTATTTTCAAGAGTTCTGCCTACTTTCTACAGTGTTTCTGTTTTAATATTTAAATCTTTGATCTATTTTGACTGTAGTTTATTGCATGGCAATAGACATGGGTTTAATATTAGTCTTTGGCATGTGGAAAGCCAGTTTTTCCAGCAGCATTTATTAAAGAGGCTAACTTCTTTAAAAAAACATTTTTTAAGTTTATAAATGTTATGTAGAAAAACTCAACCAGAATTTAAAGAGAAAATATTTTATATTCTGTTGTTTAGGGGTATTTTAAGGGCTTAGCTTTGGTTGTAATAGTTGTGTTCTTTTCTGAACTTACAGTTTTTGGGAGATCAACCTGCCCTGTATGTTTTTATTGTACATTTGAGAACAGATAGTTATTTGCAAAATTATAATGTGGTAGTATAAGACAAAATAAGCTCTAATGTTTTGTTTGTAGCACATGAGAAGAGCTCAGAGTACTCATTCATTAGGTTATCACTGCCTTGATGGGGACACCTTACATTGCTTGTGACTTTCTTTAGAAAGTGGTGATATAACTGACAAAGGTTCTACAATCTGAGGTACAGGATCTCAAGATAAATCCTGAGGAGATTTCACTGACCTTGTCAGACCCAAAAGCTCCAACTCTTGTTGCATAGGTCTTGCTTTACCTTGGTCTTAACCATCCAGTAAAAAAGTATGAAGATGAAATACAGGAAGGAAAGCCATGCTGTTATGTTGAGCTGTGGGGGACTCAGGTCAACAATTTCTGACATTGCCAGTTAAACAGAAAACCCAATGCTATTACGGGCTACTGGACTCTTTTAGAATATTTTGCTGAGTTAACACACCTATAATATTCAAATAACGGAACTTAACCAAAAAAAGGTATACAGATGAATGTCCATTTTGTATCTGTGTATTCAAAGTGGTTAGAATAGATATATAGTTACATTCTGTTAATGAATAGAATGATATGTTCTAATGGTGTTTGTAAATAGGATCTCAAGTCCGCATCGTGTACAGCAATTAACTATTAAGAAGAATGTATGCAGTGTGTTAGTTATTGAAAGTGTCCTAGCGATTTGATTTGAAACTGTCTCATTGTTATTTGTTTATCAATAAAATTATGAAAAAAGAAAAAAAAAAAAAGAAAGTGGTGATATAGCCA